GAAAAGGTTGGAGCCTTGACTTTCCTGCCTGCCACTCTACGTTTTTTTTTGTTTTTTTTGTTAATTATTTCAACTCTTTTCCACAAACGGCCTGCCTGTTTTGCTGTTCAGAGCAACATCTAACCTCATCACTGACTCATTCCATGTAACAAGGTAATTATAATCAGTGGCCATGGATCTCAATGTCCAACTGAAAACCAGTCTGTTCTTTATTACTGGATTTCTCGGCCCTGGCTATCCAGTTGAGTGAGTAATCAGTTTGAATGAAACATCTGTTGTGCTCTTCAGTCACAACTAATCAGCTACGCAAGTAGGACACTGCAAAAAAAACAAAAGAAGCTGTTTCTGGACACTTAACGGGATATAAAACAACATTCAGTCAATCAACATGTCAAAACTATAGACAATTATCTCCCTAATGATTCAATTTATAGAGGTTTTTTTTTTTTTAGCAAGTCAACGTTGAGGCTGACTACTGATTTAAAATTTTATTTTTTTAGTTCCTTGATGGAAATAACCTCCACATAAAGAATGAATTTGAGTGTTTTACTCAGTTTTGTGTAAGTCTGAACTCTGGAACATCTGGTGCAACAGGCGTCAGGTTATCACGAGTGTCAGAAATTAGGGTAAAACTGACATGTTTCACATATCTCCTATGAAACACAATCAATGCTCATTTGTTGTACACCAAACAAACAGTTCAGCCATCTATCTAAAACTAGATTTGCATGCAGTGATCATTGCCTGTCTTTGACTTTTCCTCCATGATTCAATGCTGCAGGAATGTTCTTTCTTGTGCAGGGGACTAGAAGAGATGGCGTCTCTTTCAAACGCCTCTCGTCTTCCTCCTTCAGTGTTTGTCTATACGTGTCCAAGTGAATGCCATCAGTCTGTGGGCAGCCCGTGCCGAGGCTAGAAAAAGCTTTTTCACTGTCTCCCACTCTTGTTTCCTGTTTGGTCATCATTTAACGCGGTACTCCCGCTCATTGTAGGGAAGCTGTTCAGTCAAATGTGAATGGTAACTCGTGACGGCTCCCAATTCTCAGAGGTTAAATTTAGACGTAGAGATAAAAGCTCCTCTTGTGGTTGGTTTGGTTTCTTACAGGATGATTAAGACTGCCTTTTGGATGATTTCTCATTAGCCCACACGTCCTTGCACGTTTTTATTATGACAAATATGACATGGGAATAATTACAGTCTTCTTTTGTTCTTTTTTAAAATTTAGAATTGTTCTGTGATTTGAGTTAGTTTAAATGTGTTGGAATGGGAAACGAACTGGTGGGAAATAAAAGATCTTTAGGAACTTTCGGTTTGCTCACAGTGTGGGAATATTTAGACACTTCGTTAATCGATTTGATTAGGATTTTGTGAGCTGTGATGCAATTGTAACTCTATAAACAAATTGCTGAGTTTAGAGTCTCTCCGACCTAAAATAAACAAGATATGTCTGCAGTATAAAGATTCAACATTCAAACAAGTTTATGAAAACTTAATGAACATGAAAGAGGAGTCAAAATGTTCAGTATGGTCACATGAAATTCTTTGGCAACAGATTTTCAAGCATCACATTCGATCTATTTTACTCACAGATTCAGTGTAACCATGACTGTTTTTGGTCCTGTTGTAAAATGAGAAGGGCTGTGATGATCATCATGGTTTCAAACTACAGAACACATCACACAAGCCCTGGCTTTCAGCCACTGAATGCAGGTGCAAATCCTTCACAATAAAAGTTGCAGTGTACTTTGTAATTTGTCTCTTATGAGTTAGATTAAAACGCTGACGTTGCCTAATCCATGGTTCTCTCTTTCCCAGCATCAGCTACGACTAGAGAGAAAATATTCAGCTAATATTGGCCACTTCTTTAAAAAAAATGTCACAGCCTGAAACCTTTACCAAGTTGGAAACTGAAGATGCATCAGCATCTGCTACATAATTTAGTTTTTTTTTTTTTGTTGTGCGAATGCTCTTCGGTGTTATTTTGGGACCACTTTACAATAAGGCTCCCCTTATAGATGGCTAATAAATAGTTTATAGATTCATTATTAATTCCAAACACTTTATAAATTATTAATAATTGTTTATTATGCACTAATTAAGGGTGTCAGAGAAACAAAAATGACCATTCTTGTCAAATAGTGAGCCAAATCTGTTCACCTAAATATTTCATCTAGAGTTGTTATATTAAACATTTCAGACTAAGTTACTACCTTGTGAGCACAATAAACATTTGTAAACTAATATTATATCCTAAAAAATAGGTTCACAAATGCTTATTGTGCTTACAAGGTAGTAACTTAGACTGAAATGTTTAATAAAACAGCTCTAGACAAAATATACAGGCGAACAGATGTGGCTCACTCTTTTGCAGGAATGGTCAGTTTTGTCTCTATCACACTTAATTAATGCATAATAAACAATTATTAACAACTTATAGGGTGTTTGGAATTAATAACGTATCTATAAACTATTTATTAGCCTTCTATAAGGGGAACCTTATTGTAAAGTGGTACCATTATGTTTTAATGTAAAAGTTCTTAGGTTGTTATTTAAGTTGAGCATTTATTGTTTATATATGTTTTGTTTTTCTTCTTTCGGTTCCTTAAAGCCTCATGGGTCGCCACAGCGATCTAACTCGCACAAAGGTTTGATAATTGTTTTGTGCCGGCTGCCCATCCTGACACAACCACAGAGCTACCACAGCCCACATGTGTGGAGCAGAGCTGCCGTCTCATCTAGGGCACCCTGGGGAGCAGATGGGGCAAATGAGGAGGCAGATGTGGGCGTTTCACCTTTTTCACCTTTTTTTGTGATGTATCTGTCAGGGGATTCGAACTGACAACTTCCTGATAATAGGGTAGCTTTCTCCAACCTCTGAACCACTACTTCCCCATAACAACAAATTATTATGTTTTGTTCAATAAAATACATTTTAGCTAAAAATGTCATAAAGATGGTGTATCGGCTGTTAGCTGCCCATGTTTCTAAAGATTGGCATCAGCTGGAAAACCTTGACTTTTCACTACAACCAGCTGTTTTTACTTATTTACTATTTTAAAAGACAATTAGTGGATTTTGGACATTTTAAAATGGATTCAGAATCATTCATGTCTGCACTATTTGAGGTACGTTTATCAAACCTCGAGTCATTTCTGATTTGCATGTGGGGTGAAAAAAAACGTTCCTGTTATCCTTCAAAGTTCTTGCAATTCATCCAAAACTAATTTAATTATTATGGAAAGACAAATGTCGGGTGTGAATTTTGAGCTCTACCATGACGTGCATAATATACCAAGGTAATAATTTTTCTGCAGATGCTTCTCAGTGTAGTTTTCCTCCTCACAGTCGTGCAGTTCAGCTGTTGGGTGGATCTCAGTATTTTCTCCTTCCTGTTTGTTTCATTATTAATGAGAAGCACTGAGGGAAGCGCGCTGTGTATCATATTCATTGAGAAACGCAAGGGTCTTAGGAGTAGGCATCACGCTACATGAAACACTGCAAACTTAAGGGAAAAGGAAATGCAGGAGGTTTCAGATAATCCCAGCGTTCTGCTGTTATTTTTTTTGTTTGTTTGTTTTGTGAAAAACGGCTTCAACACAATGAAAGCATGGCATGGAAACAAGGCTGTTTACCACTGTAGATGTCCCCTCTTCCACAGCCACGCTGTCCTTTTAAGCTCCTCTGTCATTACAGGGACCGTATGTTTTGTGATGATACACTTTGGCATGTGGCTGCCATTTTCAAAAGCATTAACCTTTAGGTGAACACCCGCCCTTCTCGAGATGATTCTGTGTTTATGGATGCGTGAAGTGGTTTTGGCAGGTTGACTGCCTTGTAGACTCACACCGATAATTCTGTTTTACCTATAAGCAAAATCAGTGAGTGGTTGCTGAGTTCATGGTTTTTTTTGTTTTGGTTTTTTTGCTTGTTGTTGCAACTTTATGTGGAGTATTTGATGTTCTGTCCTGTTCTCATTACTGTGGGGAGCGAGGTGGAAGATAATGACACAAATCCTCTTCCTGGACCAAGTCCTCCATCTCTCTCTTCTGGGAAAGTTTTACCCCGTTTTAACTCTAATGAACTGATGTTAATAATTTAACTTTTGTGTTGTAAATATATGCATTTGAGAGTGTTTTATATTCAGTTTTTCTCATAAATTAGCTGCATTTTAACTGGGAAAGGTTTTTTTTTTTTTTAGATAACATGATTTCCTTGTATTAGTAGTAAATTTTGCCACTTATTACAAAGTATTTAGTTAAATTCAAGACGTGTCTGTCCAAATTCTACTCGGATTGGTTCAGATTGGCATTATAGTACAGGAACTCAAAAGTTTTTTTTATTTATTTTCTATTTTCAAATGATTAATTACAGAAATAAGTGATGTTCAGCATCTGTGTTACCTGTAAAATGGTCCCTATTCATGTTAAACCCGTGAAACTATTAAACGTCAGTAATACCTACAAATGAGTTATATTATTCTGTGAAGTTCAAGGTACGTTTAAGTTTAATTATTTGCTTCTTTATGTCCTAATTCATAGGATTGCTGTATTTTTTTTCTCCAGACGGGAATGGTTTGACCTGCCCTGTCCTTTGTTTAGGGTCACGTAAAGTATTGTTTGCTGTTGCGTTCAGTCATTTCCTCCGTAAACATTGCCCTGCTGCTTTGAGGAGTTAAATTAGGTCGTGTCTGCAGGAAGTCTTTTGTGTCTGCGGCTCAACAACCAGATGGGACATTTAACCTTTTAGCACCAAGTTTTTTTCTTGTGAAATTAGTGATATTTACCAAATAAAAAGTGCTGAACTATAACATTTAGTTTGAAAGGTTGCCAAAGATGTTTCAGCAGAATATCGTTTTGCAAAAAAAAACTATTCCAGTGGCTGATTATTGCAGTCAGTTTTATTAAAAACCTTTATTTTAATTTTTTTGCTTCTATTGAAGATGTTTCTCTGTGACGGTAATGAAGACGACCTCCTCGTGTTTGTTTGTGTCTCTGCACAGAGGACGGACCCTCAGCTCCTGGCACAATTCTATTACGCTGATGAGGAGCTCAACCAGGTGGCCACTGAACTGGACAGCCTGGACGGCAGGAAGGACCCTCAGAGATGCACCCTGCTGGTCAACCAGTTCAGATCCTGTCAGGTCAGTACCGAGAACAAATGAAGTCATCGTCTTTCCCTGCCTTCCTGTGTAAATGGTGCATAAAAATAGACCTTAAGTGGAGCAAAGCTGGCATCAAGATAAATTAACCCTCAGCTTGTGTTTCATTCTGAGCCATGGCTGCCTGTTTTTATTTCAGATTCCTTTCTCTCACATAATCGCCTGCTCGAACCATTGATTTGGGCTCAAAACTGAAAATAGCAAGTGTCTTTTTTTAATTTATTCCTGGATTCAGCCATGATGATATGACCGCTTTACTAAACACTACTTGGCTAAGTTCCTGTATGTACCGTACCTCTTTAGCTGATAAGATGAGTTGAGTCAACTTTGTCTGGAAGCAGTCGCTCTTATCTTGGCTTGAACAGCACACTGTGCTGTGCGTCATGAGCCGATTTTAAGGGAAAAAGCCTGTAAAGTCGCACTTTTTTAAGAATAAATTTGTTAAATCTGTTAGATCTGAGCTTCAACATTATTAAGAAGAGTTTTAAGATGAACTAGTTGACTTGTTTGCAGAGATAAAAGCAGCTGTTTGAAAGAGTGGTGGCAGCATCGTGGGTGAAGTTACACAGGTAGCCTGAGAGGTTTTCATCTGGCCTGTTGTGCCTTGCTTCCCACCCACTGGCAGAACACATGGGGAGAACTACTTAATAAGGTCATCACTTGATCCCTGGCTGTTCTGGTTCTTCCTTCCCCCTGCCAAGCTACCACCTGGATTTTCTTTAGTGTTTTATTTTCTGTCTTTTTTGTAGTGCATAGTACTCTTATTTATTTGACATACAAATAAATAATGTTTAGTATATTTTTTAAATAGGTTATAGGTTAGGAAATATGTTTAAAGGTCCAAGTCATCATTGAGTTTGGACTTTAAATTAAGCAGCACGACTCCGTAAACCACATCGGTCCAAAGTATAAAGGTAGAATGAAGCCAGAATTCTGTTCTTGAGCTTCTTGAGTGAAGATCTTTTTCTAAGACCTGTCTAAAGATTTTTTTTTTTTTTTGGAGGATGTCTACTTTTTAAAATGAAATTTCTATTTATAGTCTTGGATCTGTCCACTTTTAACTGTTCTTCTTTTCAAACCAATTAATAAAGTCATTGGAGCATATGAACATGTCTTACTCAAGCGATGAGCCAGTTGTCTGTTAATTGAGTCTTTATTACTGACAAACTATGACCGTTGCCAGGTAGAATATAGTATTTTTTTAAATCTAATATACTATTGTTTGACTCTTAGAAAATCCTTTAGCGAAAGTTTTAAAGTTGCATGGTGTTTATTGTGTCAAAAATATGTTGGAACTGGACAAGCTTTAGGTAAGAAGAGTTGACGAGAGAAATTTCAGAGGGCAGGCAGTTTTGAAAAGGATGTCCTTTAGCACAGATCCTCTGTCAGCAACAACCTGATGCAGGACCTGAAAGATGCTTCATCTTTTAATTGATCAGGACAAAGAAAATGAATCAGAAAAGGTCTGAATTTAAAGGATTGTGTTGAGAAGCCATTCTAAAGGAGCTCAAATCAAGAGAAAAATTGATGCATGCTAAAATATTCATGAGATAAATGGAAATCTTTATGGTAGTAGGTCTTTTAAATGGACTGAATTAAACTTTTTTTTTGTCAAAATAGATGGAAGTATGACCAGGAAAAAACGTCAGATTTTAATACAGCATACAGAACTCTTATCAACGACTTCACTGTTTTAGCTTAGATTTTAATATATAAAGCAGAATGAGATTATCTTGACAAAGACTTGAACAAAATGCAGCCATTATTTAAGGAGTAGCTTTGGATGATGGCTAAAATATATATATTTCAATTATTGGTTGGACATGTTTCAATAATTCTATGTACTTCGTATTTTCTTGAGAATTTTGAAGAAATAAATAGCAGCGCAAGACTTCTGCACAATATTTATAAAGTTGTATCACATACAAGGAAAAGAGAGAGAGTTGGTAAACGGTGACGACAATGAGACAAAAGAGAGGTTGGAAAAACAAGAAAAATGAACAGTTTGTCTTCAGTCAGAACAAACATACTCATATCCTACACAAGTCACTGCACCTGGAAGCTAACACAAGTGAAAACGACCATTTATTTCCTGTTTAGGGAGATTCAGCCTGGACACGTTCAATACACTGAGATACAGGAATAAATGGCGAAGCGCTCCTTCCCAGAGTTTTTTAATCTTTCTTTTCCTGCCACGGTTCTTTTCCTGACAAGATTACTGTCTGCAGCACAGCTGGGGTTGAGTAAAAAGCTCATTGTAAGTCATTGTTATGGCTGATAAACATGCGAGTGGCACATAAGCTGGATTTGGTCGTGCTGTGTGTGCGCGAGACACGGTTTTCATTTCTGTAGCTTTACTGAGACGGAACGTAGCTGTAGGTCCGTAAAGATCTCGTGTTCTTGTCAAATTGTTTGTATTTCTTTCCTAATCAAATGTCTTCAAGCAAGGGAATTTAACTGATCTTCCTAAATGGGTGACAGATGGATTCGTTCCATCGTTGGCTTCAATGTGGATTAGTAAATAACATTAATTACACAAGGCTGCTTCTCATGTCTGTTCATCCTTTCAACTAGTTTGCTCAATTTGGTTTTCTGTCACTTTTATGTTTGTCTGCAGGACAACGTGTTGAACATTATCAGTCAGATCATGGATGAATGTATCCCCAACAACCGGGCCAACAGAGACTTTTGTGTCAAGTTCCCCGAGGAGATTCGTCATGACAACCTGGCAGGGCAACTGTGGTTTGGAGCTGAGGTAGCGTTATTCCCTCCTGCATCTGTCTGAAAGAAAACAACCTCGCAAATATGCTATTTACGTTCAGTACAAGCATAACCAAAAGTCAATATGAAGTTTCACAGATCAGTACAGGATAGTTAATGATGAATGATCTTGTTTAGTGTTTGGCTGCAGGCTCCATCATCATGAACCGGGAGATAGAGAGTATAGCTATGAGACCCCTGGCTAAAGACCTGACTCGCAGCCTAGAGGAGGTACGCAACATCACCAGAGACCAGGCCCTGAGAGACCTTAACCTGTACACAGACCGCATGAAAGAGGCGTTACGACATTTTGACAGCCTTTTTGCTGAGTTTGAGCTCAGGTAAACCAGCAACCAGAAATGGTTGCGTCGTCAAAATTTAACTACATCAGTTAGACACTTATTTTTTTTTAACATAAATTAATTAAGTGTTGTTTTTTCCTTCTTTTTTCTGTTGCCAGCTATGTGTCCGCCATGGTGCCTGTGAAGTCTCCCAAAGAATACTATGTACAGCAGGAGGTGATTGTGCTCTTTTGTGAGACTGTGGAGAGGTATGAAGATGATGATCCTTTAGAAAGAAAAAACCCTGCACCTGCTTCTATCTAGAGTGAATTGGAAACAGAAGATAATGCGGTTTCTTTTCTTATGGCACCTTTTTGTTTGTCGTCTCAGGGCCCTGAAGTTGGGCTATCTCACACAAGACATGATCGACGACTATGAACCTGCACTCATGTTTACAATTCCCAGACTAGCCATTGTGTGGTAAGTGTTGCCCATCTTTCCACCAACCTATTTCTCCTCTAATCTGTTCCACCCTCCTCTTACAGAAAGCTAAACTTGTTTTTCAGTGGGCTTGTTGTGTTTCCTGAGGGACCTCTGAACCTTGACCGGAAATCTGAGGACATGTCTGATCTCTTCAGGCCTTTTCGCACTTTGTTGAAGAAAATAAGGTAAATTTCAGGAGTGTTCGCCAAAAAGAGACTTTTTCTCTGTTAGCTTTTTTATTGCAACTATTTCCCAATTATATTTGCAGAGATCTCCTGCAAACTCTCACGGAGGAGGAGTTGATGACGCTCGAGAGGAACCTGTGTATTTCTCAGGAAGGAGAGTTGTCCACGGGCCAGGGGCTGGCCACAAGCAACATACCAGCACAAATCCAAGAGAACTGCTCATCCTGCAGCCTTACAAGTGACACCTCATATGGGGAGGGTGAGGGGGGAGAGGAACAAATGCCTGTGTTTGTTGTCACTGATAGGGAGGAGGAATTGGCAGCGGTAGAAAATGGCTGGGAGGAGGTGGAAACCCAAAGCGGGGAGGAGGAACAGGAAGAAGGCCTGGTCTGTGAGGAGGCGGAGGAGGCCGAGTTGGCGTGCTCCATGCAGTATGATGAGGAGGAACTGGAACAACTCAACATGATGGTGTATCGCGTGGGGGACGAGATGTCTACTCTGCTGTCCCCTCCAAGCCAAGGTCAGTCTCCAGCCCATCAACCCAGCAAAAAAGAGCCTGGAGGCTCCAGTGGAGCTTCCAGCACTGAAGCCTCCCCACGAAGAACCTTGGGGAGCCGTGGACGGACAGGCATCCATGTAGAGGAGGAGGACAGGGTCTTTTTCATGGAGGACCTGGATGCAGCAGGTGAGGGCATCACCAGTGTTGCAAAAGAAGCAAGTAGTTGTCTCGTCTCTTCTTCTAAAGAGTCTACATTTCGTGTGCAGCACAAGCTCGAAACACAGCCTTACTCTAGAAGGAATGGTTGGTACTCTGAGACTACATCAGAGCATCCTTGTTCACAGCCGCGCAGCATGAACACGCGCTGCTCGGTGGCAAAGCGCCCCCCGTGCACGCCAACCTCTTGTTCCGAACCTCTGCCTTACAGCAACGGGTGGGAAATGGGTTTAGAAGGGACAGCATCTGAAACAGCTGAGATCATTGCCCACCGCATGGGAGGGATGAAGCTGTCGGCCACAGTCATCTTCAACCCTCGCTCCCCCAGCTTGACAGAGCTGGCAGTGGACAAGTTGCTGCTGCCTCTGCCACCTCCCTCTGAGATTGAGCCCTGTGGCCCCCTGGTGGCCACTCATTGCCTGCTTAACTCCTGTGTCTGCTGCGGGAGCTGCGAGGACAGTCACGAGGATGCAATCGCCGCTGACGCCGCAGGGCTCGGGTTAGGCCTTGGTCTGGGACTGGACAAACATTGTAAGACCTCAGCTCCCAGCACTGTTATCCAGTCTGCCGCCTGCCAGCTTCCTCAGCCTGCTCATGAACCTTTCAGTAAAAGTGAGGGCCCCCAGCTGACTCCACCTTCTTCCCATTACTCCTCAGAGCCGCTAGAAGAGGATTCAAATTCCCAGCTTTGTGACAAGTGCCTGGTGGTGTCTTCAGGGCAGGGGCATCTCTCTCAGGACTGCAGCTCTAGAAAAGGAGAGACAGTCTCCACATGTAACCACCAGCAGAGGACTGAAAGGAAGCAGCATGCCAGTGGAGGGCGGGAGAGTGATAAGGAGGAGGGTAACAGCATACCAGATAAAAAGGAATTCAGGCGGGACACCAAAGAGGACAACAGGAGAAGCTCCAGGTTTGTCTCAGAGGCTTGTATGAGTTTCACACATGAACTTGTTCTTTTTAAAACATTTTATTTTTGGCTGCGTTTATGCATAATAATATTCAGTTGGTTTTGTGAATCTTTATTTTACATTTTTATTAGATGTTTTCATTACCTGTATTTATTTCACCATTTAATTTATTGTATATATTTATTTTTTATTATTTATTTGGTTTTTTTTTTTTTTAGTTTTCAGAACTCTCCCCTCAGCTCTGTGTCAGGTAGTGACTGTGAGAGTGTGTCGGTAACCACATGTAGTCTTTCCAGCAGTGCATATACTCCCAGGTAACATAAAGTTCATCCATGTGTCTGTCGCACGAAACAAAAATAATCATAAAAACCCTTTTTTTCGTTTCTTGTTTAGACTCGACGTACTTTTGTTCATGTTAGATGAAAGTGTCAGTCACATCTGTGTCATCATTCACTATTTTCTTCCTTTTATTGTAGATATTAGATTGAAATGTTCTTTTCGCTGGAACACAAACATTCCTTATATCTGAGTGTTAAGAAGTTTCTTGAGCTTTGTATAATTCATAAAGTGTTTATACTGCGGCCTTATTGGAGATGTAAGAATACACTGTCATTTGTTGATTTTTTCATGAATTTAAAAAAATGGCAAACGTTGAAATCTAAAAAAAAATGTCTGCCTTTTTTCAAAAGAGGTGTAATGAGATTTTCCTGTCTCCATCCAGTCCTGTTAGCAGTCTTACTCCCAGCTCTGGGACGTCAGACGAACTGGACCACCAGGAGATCAAGCTGGCCCTGCATGACACCAAGGTGGCATCGAGGAACAAGATCCGATCCCGTTTCCACAGCAGCAGTGATCTTATCCACCGTCTCTTTGTTTGCATATCAGGTAAATTAAGTTTTTATTACGTTACTCTCTTCTGTGCGTCTTTACGTCTTTTGGCTTAATATTTCTTCCCTGATGATACAGGTGTTGCTGATCAGCTGCAGACCAACTATGCTAGTGACCTTCGTAACATCCTCAAAACGCTTTTTGAAGTCATGGCAACCAAATGTGAGCAAGGAGACAACGATAAGCAAAAGAAAGGTGAGAAATACGGTACATTTCATCTATTTTCTGAGTAGAATCCAAAATTATTTGTCAAACTTGTCATTTTAATATAAATTTGTTTGTACGTGATGCAACTTCTCAAGTTTAATTTCTGCCATTGCTCACAATAGTCAACTTGCTGTCACAGATCAAATGCTTAAAGGTATTTAAATATGAGATAAGTGATTCAGTTCTGGTTTCTTCCAATAAGACACTAAAAAGCCTCTGCTTTTCGTGATTCAGACATTTTTTTTAGTTATTCCACTACTGTCCCTGACTGGACCCTAACTTTGTAGCTTAGCTCTTTAGATAAATTGTGATCCATTTATTGTGTGGTATTTTAAATTAGTTTTTTACGGTGCCCAGCAGGTCCTGTTCTGCGCAGTGCAGTGCTGGAGGACTGTGCTCTGTGTCAGGAGACCATTTCATCATCAGAATTGGCAGCCAAAGCCCGGGAAGGCCAGTTCGAAGGTCAGCACATCCACAGACAGACCCTCACAGGGTGTAGTTATCCTGTTTCTTCCCCCTTCCTCTCTCTCTGCAAACGATCAGCTGGTGACAGTTCTGCTGTATGCTTAGCATATTGTGTTGCCTCTCAATGCAGACCCTCCAGACTGGGTCCCTGATGATGCCTGCAGCTCCTGCATTGCCTGCAAGGCTCCCTTCACCGTCATCCGTAGGAAGCATCACTGTAGGAGCTGTGGAAAGGTATGAGCTGATTATCCTCAAAGCTGCAAAAAAATATTAAAAGTCCCCGTTTAATGTAAACCAATTGGAACAATTTTTTTTTTTTTTTTTTAAAGATTGCAACTAATTTATCAAAAACTCTCATTTCAGATTTTCTGCTCTCGTTGCTCTTCCCATTCTGCTCCGTTGCCTCGGTATGGCCAAGTTAAACCCGTCAGGGTTTGCACCCACTGCTACATGTTTCATGTCACGCCTTTCTACAGCGACAAGCCCGCCATCTGAACCTGAATCAGTACCTATAACACAGTCTGCTACAAGAGCATATGCAACAGACAGAACCACCGCTGCGAACAAAACGCAAATGCAACACTGCGCTGGTAATCCTTAATGGTCATGATTGTACCTCCTGAGCACGGCTTCAGAGTAATGTCACTGTAAATGAGACGAGCAGAAAGTCCAGACTAATGTGTCATTGAGTCCAAGAGTGATTTTTTTTGTGCGCACCTAAAGTAATTCTCAGAAGCCTGAATGTTGAATTGCAAAGAGGGTTAAGCTAACAGCAGCTTTCTTTAGCAGTTTGCGTCACAAAATCCGAACAGGCTCCTTTTCCCCTCTTCCTAAAGGTGTTACTGAGAAGAGTTGTTTTATTTTTCTATACTTTAATGAGCTTCCCACGTCTGTGTCTGAGGACCACATGACTCAGATCACTTAAAAGAATGTAAGTCCCCATGTACCGGTAAGTGTTCCTAATTCTGGTTCACATAAGCATTTTGATATTTAAATGGAAATTAGAAAGCAATGTTCAGCAGGCCTCAAATCTCAGCAAAGCAAAACTGAAAGAAACAGAAATTTTTGTTTGTTTGTTTAAGCTTTGTACCGTAATAAAGCTGCAAACTTTGTGTCATTTTTTGAAGGAAGTCCAGATTCCAGTACCGGTTGATGGTCATTACTTTTACTGCTCGAACCATTACACTAAGAGTTTGGTACGAGGACTCCCACTGTAGCTGAGATGGATATGAAGTATTGTCTTGAAGAGTTAACCTTTTATCACTTACTAACCTCATTAACGCCACTAAGTGAATGACTTGGTGTGGAGCAGAGGCCTTCTCAGGTGCTGGCTCGCAAGGACACAGGCCTAAATCGGCCAGTGATTTTATTTCCTTGTTAATGTTATCGTGCAATATTATTACTGCTAACTCACACTTAAGTGACAAATCTTTTGATATTTAGTTATAGTTTTCTGAAGAACAAAGTTGTGTTTGTACAATGTCGGACAGGAACAAATATTTTATTGCCAGACTGACAGCTTCCTTCTTGCTACTTCAAGGCATTTTCCACATTTACGATGATTCTTTGTGACCAATAAGGGGCTTTGAATGACAGTGATGAAATGTTTTATTGCAGTTCCTCGGGCTTTATCTGGTCAGAATCACCTAACTACTGTTTCATTAATCCTAATTACTGGTACATGAAACCTTGCAAACTTTGCAAACTTTGCAAACTTTTATTTTATAAATAGCACTAATGAAATGAAGCTGTAATATACTTTAATGTAAAAAAAAAACAAAGATGCAGTAAGAAAAGTGGGAGAGATTCTGTTATTATTTCAGAGCTTGGTCTTATTTTGTAAAGCTCAATTAATTTCCATATTAAGAGTTGTGTAAAATATTCAACAAATGTTATATAGTTTTAAATGCGATGTATATTGAAATAAATGATCTTTTTTCTGTTTTAAAAGATGTCTGGTCACTTCTTGAAATCATCTAGTACTCACAGTTTTAATATTGTCTGACCTGATATTTTTAGTGATTCTAATGTAGAGGAGTTTTTAATTATGCGCCCGTTTGACCTGGCATTAAATAACAGCAGGACAGAGAGAACCTAGTTGGCAAAAGTGGATTTTTCATTTTTATGGAGTGTAAATACCTCAAAGTTTATATTTTTTCAATGTAATTTGGAATTGTCTGAATCTTAAAGAGCAAATATGTAAAGTCGTACATGTCGCTGACTGGAACCTTCATGTTGGAGCAGATAATGTTTAATTGATATAATTTCACAAATGTTTTTTCTTTTTATTTGAGGAATAAATCATAGGTTTTCACATTTTATGAAAGATTTTAGGTTGGATTCATCATTTCCTAAGACTGCCTTCAGTTCATTTCGTTAGTGATACCGGTACTTATTCATAAATGTGTTTTACCTCCTTTCATAGTCAAAACAACAGCTTAATGGCAATAAATTGAGTAAAATAATTCTTAAATTAGATTTAAAGTTTGCGCTTCAGAACAATAGTTTTTACTATTTTGACTAGTATGCACTTTATTGAATAATTTCATAAAATCATCAATGATGAGGAATAAAAGGAAAAGCAGGTGAGAGAAATAATGAGTTCAATTCAAAAATATTTTATTAATCCCAAAGGTAAATTAAATGTTGTAACTCGTTATTCTCATTTCATTAAGAGATGTTATAGATACTAATGGCTGTAGGCAGGAAGGATCTCTAAGGTCCATATAACAGTGGATCATAAGAAACTGGCTGCAAATGCCATTCAGTCTGTCCACCCATTAAAGATCTGCTCATAATATTAAACTTTTTAGTGTTCTCAAAACCCCCAGGAATATAAATTTAGTGGAAAATTGTGTTAGATCATAAAACAAGGTTTTAAGTTACACGAGAAAAGTTTTAATTTTTATTTATTTACAGATTTGGTAAAAAAAAGAACGAACATATTGGACAAAAAGTTGTATAAAAGACAAAAATTTTGTGTTTAGGGGAACAAATGAAGCTGAATTTTATGAATTTACTAGTATATATATAAAATTTTAACATTTTAAAATAGTTTTTGATGATAACCATTTATTACAGTTTCTGAAAAGTTTGACAAACACTACATAAAATGTCTTAATTTTTTTCTGTGGTTCTACAAACAAATTCAGATTCTTATCTTATGCTGTACGCAAATTGTTTTTAGACCAAGTTTTTCTGTCCTCAACTTATGTACTTTACATTAATGTTTAGAAACAATCTACATTGCGAGATCCAAAATACACACTATAACAACTTTTTGAAAAAGCAGAAATACTTTCAAGTATTTTTCTAGGCATTTTTATTAGAAAAAATTATGACAGAGAAAATTAGGTTTTGTCTCTGGCAGCTAACAAAGTGTACAAAATTCAAATTTTTTTTTTACCAAGTTCATGGTTTGACACAGTACAGGTCATCCTTGCAATTGTATGTCTTTGTGACCTTATAATTCAATTTAAGTTTAAAGAGGCAAAATAATCTAACAGAAATTATCCATCTATAAAAAAATAACATTCACCAATAAGACCATACCATACCATTTTATTTATAGAGTACTTAAAACAGTGACAAGGCCAACCAAAGTGCTGGACAGACAGAAAAACAGGCAACACACAAAGAAATATACAAAATGAGGTAAATCAGAATATATAAAAACGATGCAGATAATAAATATGACGACTAACCAGTGTTGAGCAGGTTCAAAACACAGATCATCTGGTGTTGAAAGCTACTGAATAGTAGTGGGTTTTTAAACGGGATTTGAAAACCGAGAGGGAGGGGCCTGTCTGACAAGCAGAGGTAACTCGTTCCAAAGTCTTGGTCCTGCTACAGAGAAGGCCATGCGCTTAAGACGAGTTCCTGGAACTGTGAGGAGCAACTGGTCCGCTGACCTCAGGGAACGTGGTGGGACATACGGTTGTAGCAAATCAGAGAGATGGGGAGGGAACTGTTCAGCGATTACGAAGACGTACTGATATGTTCTCTGAGATGTCGTCATTGAGTGTAAGAGAATTGTCATGTACTGTATATCAATTCACAGTTTGGTATCGGTCACTTTGCTCTTAATGTACTGTATTTTTCGGACCATAAGGCGCACCGGATGATAAGGCGCATTAAGTGAAACAAAACAGATCAGTCAAACTTTATTCAACTCATTCAAAATAACCACATAAAATCGGTCCAGGTCAGATTAAGGTGCACCTGATTATAAGACTCACTGTCGATTTTTGAGAAAATTAAAGGATTTTAAGTGCGCCTTATACAAAGTAGTCCGAAAAGTATGATAATGGCACCAAAGGGCACAAGTTTGCTCATTCTTGCAAGCTTGTTATAAAGACGTTGCCTCACAATCGTGGGGAAACTCATATCTGTCTCAACCATTCAGAGATTTCTGCTTAATATTTATTTCATAATAAATTTATAATCAATTGATCAAACACCAAAATGCATGGTCCTCTTGACTTTCATTTAGCCATAACAGTTGAGATAAAGAGGAAAAAATATATATATTCTTGAATTGTTTACTTAAACTGAGTACAGTACATGTCATAAACATCCTTTTTAAGAGACTGAGCTGAATACAGCACCTCAGACTGAAGAAGTCTCTCGGATGAGAGACGAAACGTTTCTAGATTTTTTTTTGCTTTGTTTTGTTTTTTTGAATGTCCAGAGGACCAGATTGAACTTTTTTGGATTTTTCTACCTGGATTATTGAGCATGCATCAGGATATCCTTTTTAACGTTGTGGCTTTGTGCAGTTCACAAGAATGGCCAGCAGGGGGCAGCACCTGCCCGCCATGTGATTTAGCAGTATTAAGTGTAGAGGAAGTAGCTGAGTTTTCTTCTTCTTTTAACATAATTAATGTTTGTAAATTATGCTATATTACGTTAACGTTAGAAATGTATTGCATCGTAGAGTTTATAAATAAAAAGTAGCTTCAGAGTTTACTAATAATAGTTCGTAATGCCCATTTAGTGCATGAATTATCACCTAAATGTTACTTTTAGACGGACAAACTGGGTTTAATCAGTTGTAGCGCGTGATTAAATTTGTCAGCCTACATCTGTGTTATCAGTTTCCTCGAACATTAGTGTGGCAGCTGTGAGAGAGAGGATAAAAGCGGTTCGAGTGTGATAAAGAGTTAATGGCGACCGGCGGCCTCTGCTGGCTGTGATTGGCCCGCAGCTGCAGCTCTGGGACGGTCAACAAGTCTCCGCCGTGTGCCCGCTAACAGAGTCACTGGGACGAGGAGAAGTGAGTACTCGGCCCGGAGCTCCCCGTGACTTACTCAGGACATTCATATCGTGGACCTTGTCCTTCTCATTCGGACGTGTCCGGTTTTTATTTTCTGTCAGAGGCTGGAAATGCGCTGAAAGTTTTAGAGGTCGGTGGGAAGTGGACCGCTGTCACTTTGACCAGATTCATGGACTCAACCCGGACTTTAGTGGAAAAGCATTTCTGTCAACAAGGCTGACTTAATAATTCACTCACTATCAAGGTATGTTGTCCTCCAAGTGTTATTACATCCTAATATCCTTCACGACTTTCTTATTTGGACTAAAAATAAAAAACCTTCATTACATTACTGAACTGTTGAGCCTTATTTGGTTAAAAAAAGAGTAATTAAATAAAAATAAAAAACGTTTAAATAGACATGTCTATCACTTATAAACAGCAAAGGCATTTTATACGAACAAACTCGACTTATTTCAGTTTATCAGTGATAATTTTCTTGGTTAAATCTTGTGTGAATAAAACTGAAACCCATGTCTTTCAGATATGAATTTGCCTTTGGACAGTATGAGCATCCTGAAGATTTTGCTGTTTCTCTCTGAGGCTGTTTTACTGACTGACTGCGTAAGAGGTGAGATGTGCTGTAAATGTCTTTAACATGGAGGGAAACATCAGAGCTCATTAATAACCAGGCTGACTGGCCAGTTTCCTGTGAGCACTGAGAAACTCTCAGTTGTGTCGTCTCACGGAACAGGGACGGAAAAGCCTAAACTTGAAACAACAACCAAAAAAATAATGATAAATCTAAGCAGAGCTTAAAATCAACATGGGGTAAAGGAAGGAGAGAGGGCAAGCCAACCCTGTCCCGCTGGAGTGTCTTTTCCGTCACTGCTGTGTGTGAGTGTGCACATTCACTGCAGCTAAAGCAAACAAACATCATCCATCAGCGTCCCGGGGTGAAAGAACACAAGTCAGAGTCCAGCTCTCCTGTGGCTGGCAAAGAGACTGCCTCACATCAGCCCCCTCAGTCTCACCAGAGTTCACTGCACAGGTTATTGAGTCAGTGTCAATAATTTGTCTTATAAGGACAACTTGGAGTGAACTTAAGAGCTCGTTTCTATGATTTCATCCACCTTGTTGACGCAATCCACTGACGTGATTCGATGTCGGCGGCAAAAGTCGAAGCGGCCTAATGAGAGAAATCTGAAAACCAGGTGGAAAACTCTGCAGAACAGTTTAGCTCTCTTTATTCTCCTGCTTAAAGTGGAGGTGAATCGAGTTACTGTCTGCTAGGTGCAGTACCTGCATGTGATTATTATGGTTCAAGGTGGACTGGGCATAAATGGGGGGTTGGCAGTGGTTTAGAGGGGGAGATTAGATCTGTGGGGTTTGCAGACAATACCTCATTCACAGCGTGGCAGCCGTGCCTTCACGGCACGACTAAATCAAAAGTAAACAAGACGGGGAGGCTAAATCAGATTAGACAGGCAATTTTATATGTTTGGAGATGAACATATGTCAGAGCAGGAGAGATCCAGACGGCAATGAGATGGTGGCGAGTGCTGTTGTAGTGGGTCCAAACTGACTCAGTGAACAGGAAGAATTTATTATAGCCCGTTTTTCATAGTTTCTCTCCAAGTGGTTGCAGATGCTCAAACAGATGCACACGGCGCGTGCATGTGGTTTGCAGACGGTCGGTGATAAAGAGTTGATGCTTGACAATCTACGAGTTGTAAATATTTCACAGTTCTCCCAGCAGACGCAGAAATACAGTGGGCTCTGTGTTACAGTCCAAAGACAACAGCTTGACTCCGACGCGCGGTGAAATACATTCGGGAGGTTCCGACTCGTGCTTTTATTGTGACGCCAAGGCCAGTGAAGCTGTAAAACCATCCCTGTAAAGTTTAACAGTGTGCGCTGACATCTTTGACTAAGGTAAATGAAATTATAAAGGACATCTTGTCTTTGTCTCGTGTGAAACAGTAAAAGCACACAAGTGTTACTGCTGTTATCTAAACGTTTTAAACTTGGCACCCGAAACGGCAGTAAGATTTTAGGCCTGTTGCTGTCATTCATGAGGGGGATATCTGACCCAGGACCCCCTGCCCCAAACACACCGACACACACACGCACTCACTCAAGGGGCCCTCTCTCTCACTTTACCGCTACAACTTTGGTATTGGCCAGGCCCTCCTAGAGCTTCCACACTTCCTCCATTCCTGCCTCTTCCATCCTCCCCCTTCTGCTCCTTCCCCAGCAGCTGGAGAAGGTGCTCAGTGATGTGTCCCAGCAGAACCTCTAATCTGGTGACAGTCTCAGGGACCACTGGGCTCCACAAAGAATGCAGTCGCCTGGACATATGGCGTTACCAGGACGAGCGAACAATGAACACGTAGCATACAGCACGCACAGCATTCTTTGGAAAGCTGTAAACTCTTGTGGAAAGTGTGTTTTATAGTGGCGTTACATCATGTAACAAGAAAGTACCATGAGATAAAAATTGTGCCAAAAGCTGTTAAAATAACAAGGCTGTTGGCTCCCTCACAGTTTTCCATTTCCTTCAACCGTAGTGATGCTAGCTTCTCAGCAACAAAATGCCCAAAGACGTGTTTTTTACATTGTTCCTGAGTGGTAAGTGGGTTTAATAGTGGAGTTCTGGCTTGTGGCCCGAGCTGTAAGGCAAAAAAGGCACTAAAATAATGGTTTTCTTAGATTTTAGATAAAGTTCCTCTCATTTCTTATCTACACATCCATGAAATATTCTATCCATATCTTGCATCCAGTCTTGTCTGCCACACATCTCAATCTTTTCTCCCGATTTTCTTTGCATTTCCTCCCATTTACTACCACTGTAAAGTCAAAGGAAGTGAGTTAAGTTAATGCGCTGTCGTTAAAAAGAGGCATGACTGACCTTTACTCCCACCCACCCTCTCTCAGCTCCATATTTACAGAGCTTTAGTCCATTTGTGGAGAACAATGGCTGAATTATTGTGTGTGGTGGTCCCTTCAGGTTGGACAGAGCAGCAGTAATTAATCTTAAACAACTCCTGATCCTTGAAGACTGCTCTTATTTGCCAGCTATTAGTTCTCACTGCGGACTCGCTTTACAAAGGAAAGCGTGAGAAGAAGCTTACGAGAGAAAAGCAGCTCTGCTTTCGTGCAGCCGAATATATGCATGTTTTATTAGGGAGGCTGAAATTACCCTGAGAAAAGTCATGATAATGAGACGTCCAAAGCGTTTAGGGCAATAAGAAACCTCAGGGAGTTCTCGCACCCTCCACTCTAGGTGAAACTATTCCTTTTTGTATCGCGGAAATAAAGTTACCACAACTGCTGCAATCCACATTTCCCATCTTTCAGCGCACACTGCCAACCCTGTCAGTTCAGGAGGAAACATTTGGAGAGGAATGTGTCAGACTTCACCCCTCAGAGGGGTAAAGAAAGGAAAGGGCTGTAGCTGTGATAAGTAGTCATAATGGAGGTCAGTCGGTGTTTACTTTAGCTGGGTCATAAAGTCCCTGAAAGCTGCGCTGTCCTCACTGACTGACTTTAACAGGCTCTCCAATTAACATTCACGTGGAATTTCAACTTTGGTTTCTGTATTTATCACTTTCAGCTGTATGCTAATGTTCCAATGAAAAGATTTTCTTAAAGGAATTCCCATGTCTGTGTATGGGTGTGCATGTGTGTGCGTCTTTGTTGCAGTGCTCATTAGTTTGTTTGGGCAGTTGGCTCTGGGTGTGTTTCCAGACCACACACACTCTTCCTGCCGGCTGAATGGATTCGCGTTCCGTTAAATAAAAGTCCTTTTTGCCTCCTGTTAACCTTCAGCCGTGGAGCTGCTCACAAAGTGCTCACAGAGGCGTCAGGGCCGCCACCATTCAAATGATAATCGACTTTATGCCTTTCTCAAGCCTGACTAGCACCATTTACCAGACGTATGAATACCAGATTTTTGTTAATTGACAGCTGCTTGGTGCTAAATAGCGTCTGATGAGACTGGACCCTGCTGCTGTGTTTACACCCTGGGGCAAAGTCTAAAGGAGGTTGGGGTAGGGGGGTGAAGGTGGTGTCCGCCTTGTTGGAACCTTACAAGTGACCTTACAATAACATGTTAGCCCCACAGTGGGATGTGTTTGTCTTGCACAACCTGTCTTTCTAAACCTCCGTTTTGCTCCTGTCCAGCTCTGTTTTCTCTTTTCTGTTGGGGAGCCAAGTGGTGGAGGATCTCCCCACCCCCTCATCTGACAGCTGTTCAATCAGTCACCGTAGTAAGGAAAAATTACGAGATTCCATATGTTCTGTATCGTTCCTTAGAGGGAACATTTTTAGGGATCAGATCGCAAGTTTGTGCGTACCCGTGCACGAGGGTGCAGAGATGTAAACTTGTTTTGGCTTTTACCTCACGTCTCTGATGTGCCTACTCGCTCTTTGTATCATAAGCTTGATCTTTGCAGAAAGATGTGAAAAAAAAATTACCTTAAAATGATCTTAAAATACAGAAATGGTTATAACTCATCTAAAGTTACAGATGGGTTAAATTTGGTGTTAATAGCTGAGAATTATTCTCAATTCGCAGTCCAAGTGCTAACTGATCGCACGAGAGCTGTTTATTAAACTTTGACATCAACTATTAGAGTCAATTAAGTCTTTCTGTTAGCAAAATATGTCATGCTCTGGCATGAAAGCAGGAGGGTGCCATTTCTTCAGAACACTAAGCGTTTTATTACTAATGTTTTGAGTTTATATTGACACTAAAAATATACAAACTAGGAAAGTAACACCTTAGGGACTCGTATGGTGACCCTCAGTTAGGTTTGAACTGATACGTTTTGGACCCACCAGATGTTATTGTGATGTTTGTGAATAAAAAGCTCACGATTGAAGCTTCAGATTGTTTCCTGCCCTACCTTTCTGGCTAGGCTGTACTTGCCAAAGCCTGCTGGAATCATGCTGTGTTGAAGGCTGTTTTATCAGAATGTCATATCAGGCGGTCTGGATGCCCTCGTTTTCACATCAGTCCAGGATAAGATTTCTGTTTTTCCGTGCGTCGTCCGTCATCCGTGCTCGTTGTTTTCCTTCTGTTTCGGATTCAGACAGGCATGGAGCGTTACCAGACTTTGGCGCCTCGCTTTCAGAGGATTATGAAGGTTTTCACTCTTTTTGTTTTTCCTTTCTACCTTTTCTTCAGAGCCTTAAGAAAACCCCTTGCGCACACACGCACTAAGCAGACTCGCACCCCAACCAACCCTCCCGTTTTGCAGTTAAAAGGCTGATTGTAAGTTATAGTGGTGGCAACAGTGATGGCTGGCTGGGCTTGAAGAAAGCCAAGCCAAGAAATAACGAGCTCTGAATAAGGCTTCTGCTTCCTTTAACACCCCCGACCCATCAACAACCTCCTTACAGTTCCATTGGATCCCCCGTATTTTCAGTTCACCTCCAACAAGTTTCCGTGAGACCCCCACAATGCTTTGTGGCTTCTTTGCTTCCATTTTGTTTTTCATTAAGGATTCGTTTTAGTGACTTTGAAAAGTCTTTTATTGTTCTCATTGACTAAGGGTTATAAATTTGTTGCACACATACAGGCCGTTGTGGTGGAATATGCTCAAAGCCATTTCCAGTATTGGAGAG